CGTCCGTGATGTACCCTGGTCCATTTTCTGGACCGAGGTGTATTTGGAGCGGTCCCATAAATATGGACCCTACCTTTGCGAATGGACCCGGATGCGGTTTTGGACACGGCTCGGGCGTTAATAGTTATATTGTTACTAGTGCCGTATAAGAGATTCCTGTCGCAGTTTCGCGTGTTTAATTTCACATTTGATGATGCTTTCCTGTAATCTGACTCGTCGTTCAAAATACCTTTTTAACTGATATGCTCTTTACTTTAACGGTGTATGTTTGATTTCATGATTTGATGCATAGTGTCTGATGATTTAGAAGGCTATGTTTGATGATTGATCTATTGCAAAAAAGTATTGTTTTTTTTTAAAATAGAAACAAACCAAAAATGAATTCCAGTCTCCAGGTGTATTTTTTTCTATTTAAATTTGAAAAAGAAGAAATCGGTGTTTTTTATACACACTTTTTTTTCTAACAAATAGCGTATGTATGAATGTATAAAAATATGTACATATTTACTGTATTTTAAATATGTCGTGTTCAATATTTATGGGATTTTTTTTTGCGGGAATATTAGATCTGCCAATCAAATTGTTGTTGGTATCCAAACCAAAACCGTTCACGGGTTCGGGCCACTGGCACGAAACTTTCCGACGAAAATTGAATAGATTCTTCCAAATTTCTACACACCTACAACATTATAAGAGACGAAATCTACTATACTACACGCAACAAACTATGAAAAAAAGATGAGCTAGATTTGGCTGCTGATCAGCTGCTGGAATGAAAAGAGGGCGTATATGATTTACACTACGACGATGACGACACATGCGTGTAGTATTGAATACAGCATTGGTCTTTTCGCATTCATTCATGCATGCATGTACTTTTGAGTTTTGAGTGCATGTATGCAATTTAGTTTGCAAGCATGCATGCATGCATGCTTGAATGCATTCAACATTCGTCCATGCATGATTATTTTTTTTGCATGCTTGCATTCAAAACTGCCTGAAAACATGCATACATGCATTTATTCAACATTCATGTGTACATGCAGTTTTGAAAGAATGCAAGCATATGGAAAAAAACTTTTCGTTCTGTCAAAACAGCATACAGTTGAAGCTGCATGAATGCATGCATTCATTTTTGCATGCGTACATGGATTTTTGCATGCGTGCATGCATGAACGCAAAAAGAAATGCATGCATGCATGCATGTATGAATTCGTACAACATTCAACGCGTTTCGAAACGAGTTTGCAAACCACAAAAACATATTGTGTCGGTTGTACAACCCTTGTTGTACTCTAACCCTGGTACCTGTTGCTCTGGACCGTTGTCTGAAATTCTAGACTGCAGCCTACTATCTCATTGGCTGACAAATGAGCCTTCGATCAGATACTATGGATTTCTGGCGGTATTTCTCACATATTCCATAGTATTTTATTAGTGGCCTGACCAAATTCGTTGCACCTACAGTTGGAAAATACCATCAAATATTGCAACTTTGTACAACTTTTGCGCGTGTTTCAAGAATCTACAAGTTTCGATTGGTAGAGAACTAATGTATCTCTGGAAAAGTTTACAAACGGTTGTACAGAATCTAAAGTGAAAATCAGTAAACAAGCAAATAATGAACACATCACGCAAATATTTACAAAGTACGTCGCAGTTTGATTGTGATTCACAAGCACTCGTAGGTCAGCGACTACGTGATGCGATGGCTCCCTCGCATAGCAACTTCAAACAATATGCAAAAAAAAAAACTCAAGGATTTCCTGCAATACTGGCAACCAGACCATGATTGGGACGCGTATGAGAATCTGATGAATATTCCGATG